GATATCAATATGTAATACAATAAGCAGTGTTAATTCCCTACCACTCTGTTTGTAACTCTGTAATGTCTGTACTGATCCCTTGCTATTTTGTAAAATGTTGTCGGTCTATTAGTATTTTCCTCCTTTTATTTCTAAAATAAAAAAAAATAAGTAAATGTTAAAAAAATTTATAATTTATGTACATAAATAAGATTGACCTGTAATTTTTGTACAGTCCTTGTCATTCTTGGTTTTTTTTTTCTTTTTGAGATAGGGTCTTGCTATCCAGTTCAGGGCAGGCTTGAGCTCACTTTGTAGCCCAGGCTGGTCTCAAGCTTGCATCAATCCTTCTGCCTCAGCCTCCCGAGTGCTGGCTGGGATTACAGGTGTGCTCCACCATGCCCGGCCATTCTTAGTATTAAATGTGTACTGTCATTGTCAAATATATCAGACATTTAGATAATCATGATTCATTAATACACCATTTTTATCTCGTTTCTAGAATTCACTAAAATAACATAAGAGAATAAAATAGCAATAAGTCCATAATGACAAAGTGACTAGACTTAGAGATGGGTAACAAAGGTCTTTAATTTAATTATTATTTTTAAGATTGAAAGTAATTATGGTAAAATGTTAAGATATGACTAACCTGTACTGTGGGCATATGGTATCCATTATATTTTCCTTTGTAACTTTTCAATTATGATTAAACATTTTTTATTCAAAAATTTTTATTTTTATTTGGAGTAAGTACATGATGGCTCAGTTCATTGTGGTACATGTGTAGAAGACATCTAAATTATTTTGATGGTCCCTCTTCTTTCTTTTATTTTTCTAAATTATTTTGACAGTCCCACTTTTCTTTCTTTTATTTTCATCTCTTGGTCCCACTTGCAAAAAGATCTATCTCCCTGTTTTTTCTTAATTTTTTTTTTTGAGACAGTGTTTAGTTCAGGCTGGCCTTTAACTCAGTATGTATTTCAGGCTGGGCTCACACTCGCAGTGATCCTCCTGCCTCAGCCTCCTGAGTGCTGGGACTGCAGGCATCAACCATCATGCCTGGTACTCTTAATGTTAATGTACACACAAAAGAAGTTCGTTCCAGAAAATAATAGCTGTCCTCAGAGTGCTTCTCAAACTTTGATATGTATATAAATAACCGGGGGGATTCTTAAAGTCAGATTTGGAATTTTTCAGTCTGGTGTGAGGACTGAGATTTTCAATTTTTAACAATATCCTAGATGATGCAAATGCTGCTGCTGATCTGTGGAACACACTTTTTACAGCCAGATTTTAGGAAATATAAAACAATGTGATCAAAAGTGGTAAGTTTTTTTTTTTTTTTTTTTTTTTTTGAGACAGGGTCTCCCTATACAGTTCAGGCCGTCCTTGAGCTCACTTTGTAGCCCAGGCTAG